AAGTCTGTGTCCAGTCCTATTTCCTGAAGTGTCTCTCCTATGTTTTCTTTAAGAAGTTTTTATCTTCTCTTTATCATATACATCATTTATATTAGGCTCAACTTTTTTTCCCATAAAAGAAGTAAGCATTAGGGAAGAGGGACAATCGGTACACAAAGTATAAAGAAAAACAAAGGGTGTGGAGATAGCCCTTGGATCACAAATTAGACAGCACTAATTTTTGAAGCTGCTTTAAAAATAATTGTCTTTCATTTTATTTTTTTAATTAGTTAGTTAGTTTTTGGCAGCTGGCTGATAAGGGGAACCAAAACCTTGACCTTGGTGTTACAAGGCCATGCTCTAACCAACTGAGCTGACTAGCCAGCCCTGTTTTTCATTATAAAGGCGTGTGATTATTGCATTGCATAAGTTTTCTTTCAATATTTTTTCCTGTGTATGTATATGTGCATATTTATATATTTAGTAATGCATTGATATTCTTTTATATGCTAATATTTTTCATTCAAGTACATTTCTTGTTAAATATTCTTTATACCATAATTTATCTCATCAGTCCCAACTTGTTGAACATTTGATATTTTTTTATTTCGTCAATAAGAAAAAATGTTGCAAATGACATAGTTTCACCCCATCCCCTATAAAGTCTCTAGGTTAAATTAGCAGATAATTGAAGTTTCGGGCCAAAGAATAAGAATGTTTTATGAGAGAGCACAGATTCTTTTAATGCTCTAGCTTAAGACTTATTGTGAAGATGAAGAATGAGATAATGAACCCTAGTACATGTCATGGACTCATTCTTTCATTTTAAATGTTTCTTTAGAAATGGTTCACCAAATCACCAGCCAGAGCCTCCCCCTCCAGTCACAGATGTAAGTTGAAAGTTGAATGTCAGTTATTTGCAATGTCTAAGAATATTTTGATGACCATACAATTCAGTAGAAATGCCCAACTTTGAGGGAGTATTATTTATTCATTCATTAAAAAAACATTTATTGAATTTTGACTGTGAACCAGATATTGCACGAGGGACTGGAGATATGAAACAAGTAATGGAGGACCCTTGCATTTGAGGAGCTTACAGTGGGGAAGATAAGGGTAGAACTCCATGGGCATCTTGACTGGTTAGAGAAAGAGTGTAAACAACTTCCAAACAAATGAAGCATGTTTGAGTGTGGGTGTGTGTGGCTGTCTTTGGTTATGTGTTACCCAATGAAGTAACAGATCAATCTATTTAGTTACTAAAAAAATTGCTTTCTCCCTTTCAGAACCTCTTGCCAACAACCACACCTCAGGAAGCTCAACAGTGGTTGCATCGAAACCGCTTTTCTACTTTCACATGGCTTTTCACAAACTTCTCAGGTTAAATTTGTTTTTCCTTTTGTTTTTCCCAGCAGGGGCCATTCCTTTCCATTCTGGAGCCTCCTGGTATCCATGTGAGATTTGTATGTGTCTGTGTGATCTTAGTACAGTTTTCTAGATTTTATAGAACTCTTCAGAGTTTTTCACCAGCTGCAACTATGCTGTGAAGTACTTATTCCATACAACACTTCTAAAAATGTACATACATTCCCTATAATATTTTATCAAGAGGCATTTGCAGGTAGTCTGAAATGTCTCCCTTGATATCATATATTGTATTTTACTTACATATCTCCTTTTATTTAGCACCTTCTGTGTACCAGGTGTGGTAGGAATACACAAATGGATAAGGCATACTTCCTGATCAAAGAGCTCATTCATCATCTAGAATAAAAAAAATCAAATCAAAATAAACCCCCCCAAACAGGTAAACAAATAGTTGTGATGCAGTAGATAAGTGTTCCACAGAGGTGTGAACGAAGAAGACATTCAGGGGAGGGTCTGGTGTTAGGGAACATGTGTGACGCAGAGGCGAATCTTAAGGGATGAGGAGGAATCTGTTGGTCAGATAGTGGAAAGATATTTCAGGCAGGAGGAACAACTTGCTCATTAGGCATCAGCAAAATGATGAACGCATAAGGTTAAGTGGAGAAGTTAATTGGGAGGGAGTTGAGACAGGAAAGGAGGCAGGGGCCAGGTCATGAAGGGCCTAATAGGTCATGCAAAAGATTATAGATTGTAACATACTGGTCATGAGGTATCCTCGTAATAGAGCCCATTTTAATAGTCTTTAACAAGGAGAAGCTTTGTCTTTATCACCCATTTTTTTAATATTTATTCCAGGAGCAGATTTATTGAAACTAACTAGAGATGATGTGATCCAAATCTGTGGCCCCGCAGATGGAATCAGACTTTTTAATGCATTAAAAGGCCGGTATGTAATTAGTTTTAAAATATCAATGAGGTTTGATTTCAGATGGATTTGGAATCAGGGATTCTTCATAATATTCCGCACAGCTAAATATGTCTTGTCAAATATTCCGCACAGCTAAATACGTCTTGTCAAAAAAATTTTTTTTATTGTCATTTTCATTGTGACTATTTCAGGAAACTTTTTTTTTTTTTTTAAATACAGTACCCTCTCCTGTCCTCATCTTTGGTTTGTGTTCTTTGATAGCTTTATTGTGTCTTTACTTTTCAAGAAGTAAAATTTTCCGAAGAGCTACAGGCTTCTCCATTCCCAGCTTCTCATGTTTGGTAACACCTCCTGAAGCCATAAGTGCTTAGAGACTGAGGACTGAAGGGTTTTAACTGTTATATTTCTGGAAATAATATGAGAAGGATGACACTTAACTCCAGTACTTTAAGCCTTATGGCACAGTTGACTCCTGTTGATCTTCTTTACTTGGGTTTTGTTATTTTGGGTTAGGTGATTAACCTGTTCAGAACATCTGCTCTAATCCTCAAAATGAAAAATATGAAAATTCATTCATTCAACTTTTTATTGTGTGTTTTGTGCAATTTTGAATGCTCTTATACAAAGTAAATGGCATAATATATCACTGTCCCATCTGCTAGCAAATAATGCTATGCAGAAGCCTTCCTATGGTACCCTTGATAAAATATTCTGAATTGTCAGAAATTACATATTTCTAATAAAAAATGCACACTGGCAGTGAGATAGTGAAGAGTAAAGGACAGTAATTACCTGTAGGACTAATTCCCAGCAAAGGCCTTAAATTGTATTCACATAAGCAGGTTCTGTAGTGACTTCTGTGGCTGTTACAGCTGGTGAGCACTCTGATCATACATCACAAAACTTTTACACTTGAAATCAAAGCACATTTCTTTTAGTTCTGTTATTTAGAATTCCTACCTTATTTTTCCATGGGACAAAATTAGTCTGCATGTCATAGTGCACTTAAAGTTCAGTATTACCTGTGAATTAAGATAAATACTATACCTGTGCCTAACTAACTTCTACAGGTAACATTATTTCTGTCAGAAAACACTTTCCCAGTTCCCCTGCAGGACGCCAGGAATGCGCATCACCCCAGAGATCTCTGTGTCCATGGGCAGCACCTCCAGAGGGGAGAAGAGCCTTTGTCAGGGAGGGCAGCAGAGGAGGAAGCTGAGGCTTGCAGCTGAAGCTGGTATTCCAAGAGCAGCCGTGATTCATGTGTGGAGAATGGACTTTTCATTCCCTCTCATTTTCTCTGCTCTTAATATGCATATAATGAGCTTCTGTGATGGCGGTGAGGGAGGCATGGGGGTGGTCCTGGACATAGATGCCTATCTGTCTGGAATCTGCTTCTTTATTAGTTTGGTATTGACTCTGCTCATCCTCTAGGATAGGCCCCTATCCTTCCTACATTGCCAGAAACAGGCAGTGATGTGTGGTGACAGCAGTTTATCCCCATGACTTTCCTTTACTCCTCATGCTGTCAGTTGGACCCAGTGGAGGGGAGAGTTTTGTGGCCTTTATGCTGCTGTTTTGAAACCTGGTGGAAGGGAAGGTGTGATGGCCTGTCACCTGCTTCGTTGGGGTTTAGTTCTCATAACTTTTTTTTTTTTTTTTGTCTTTTGTCTTTTTCCGTGTCTGGCAACGGATCGCAACCCTCAGTGTTGCCCCCGTACCGGACCGGGGACCGGCAACGGGATTGCAACCCTCGGTGTCGCTCCCGCGCCTCGCTCAGCCAGTGAGCGGGAACCGGTCTGTATGTGGGATCCGAACCCTTGGGCGGGAGCGCCGCTGCGCTTCCCAAGCGGCGCACTATCCAGTGCGCCACCGGGCCGGCCCCAACTTTTTTTTTTTTTAATGCCAAAAATGTACCAAATAAACAAAGATGAAAGATATCCTTTCTTCCGGTTAATCCAAGGAATTCTCCATGATATCCTTTTTTCATTTCCAGGTAGTCTTCTCATTCACTAAATATTCTTTGTCCTTATCATGAGCCAGGTACTGTTGTAGGCTCTGGGGATATATTAGTGAGCAAAATAGACAAGGTACCCATTGTTATGGAGTTTACTTCCTAATGGGGAGAGAGGTAAAGATCTAAATATTAAGTATTTTGGATAGTGATAAGTGCTTTGAAGGAAAACAAATGAACAAGCAAAAATAAGGTTGTCGGCTATTAAGTGCCCAGAATGTGGTCAGGAAAGAGTGCTCTGAGGAGGGGCTATCTAAGCAGAGTTATGAGAAGGATGAGGCTATGGAGTCATATGAGGGAAGAGCATGCTAGGCAGAAGGAACGAAAGGTGCAAAGGCCTTGAGTCAATTTTAACTGGAGAAAAGGTCATTCTTAAGTTTGGATAGGAATTACTTAAGTGTCTGCTTGCAAATGGTACTTGTAATATAGAGCACTTTGTAGTCCATTTTTTGGGACTTAGAATTTTAAATAGGTAGTAGTAATATTGATGGAACAAATGTACAGGTTAATGGCAACAGAACCAAATCAGTGACTAAATAATATAACAGGTTGTGAAGTATTTGTGTTTGTGATTCAGTATCACAAGGGATGTTGAACTAGTTGTCTGTAATCTTGGAAAATTTTAAAGAAAGGTGAAATTCAGGCACTGGTGACTTGGGAACAAAAGAATGGATCTTCCATTTTTAAGTGTATTCTCTAAAGAGTGTTTAGAAATAGGAAGGAATAAGATGGTCAGATCAAGAGGTAATTGTAGCTTTGTCTAAGAAGTAAGAAGAACAGAAAGAGGGCTTAGGCTACTTAGGAGAAGGTAACGAGGGAAGTAAGGTTATTCAGCTTACTATGTTGACATTTTTAAGTAAAAGGTATGTCTTGAACCTGACCTGTAAAACGGTGGCTCATATATTTTGAATATTTCTAAACTTTGCACCAAACATGACCGACTTGGATGACTACAGAAGCCTCATAGGTAATATAAATGAGTGACAGTCATGTCTGGGGTATAGTGAAGAATGTGTGCCCCATGTACGCAGAACAACTGATTGTTTTCATGTGAGAATGAGGGCCTCAGATTGCTAGATCTAAGTTTTTAAGAAAAACCAAAAGTTCAGAGGTTTATATGATGCTTCCTATTGAAACTAATTCAGCTTGAGAGAAAACAAAACCATGAGGGCCTCAGATTGCTAGATCTAAGTTTTTAAGAAAAACCAAAAGTTCAGAGGTTTATACGATGCTTCCTATTGAAACTAATTCAGCTTGAGAGAAAACAAAACTACCCCTGGGGTGCTAATAAAACAGCAAATGAATTGCATTTGGCCCATGACCTGCCAGTTTTCAGCCCCTGCTCTACACTATTAATGCAGAAACACAAGTTCTCCCTTAAATTGTGCTTACCATAAAAAATGTGAGACTAACAGCCCTTTCCCCCCATTTTAGGATGGTGCGTCCAAGGTTGACAATTTATGTTTGTCAGGAATCCTTGCAGTTGAGGGAGCAGCAGCAGCAGCAGCAGCAGCAGCAACTGAAACATGAGGACGGAGACTCAAATGGTACTTTCTTCGGTAGGTTGTTCTGGATAGACTAGGACAGATAGATATGAAGAAAGGTGAAGGGATGAGTTATGGGCATGTGTGATGGGAATTTATCAAATAGAGGGTCAGCATTTGCTAGAAGTAATGGTAATTGCTAACATTTATTGAGCTCCTAATACGTGCCAGGTGCTATTCTCAACACTTTTTACATACTTTAATTTTTACAATTAATATCTCTTCTTGACAGTAGATTTTGTTATCTCCAACATTTAGATGAGGAAAATAAGGCCTAGGAATGTCATATAACTTGCCCTAGGTCATATAGCTAGCAAGTGGCTGAGCCAGGATTTGAACTCAGGCATTTTGATTTCTGAGTCTTTCAGAAATCTGGGCATTCCCAGTGATTAGGTTGTGTACAAAAGCAGATAAACTTTGTACTGACTGCCATTGATCTCTCCCTTTTGCAGTGTACCATGCCATCTATCTAGAAGAACTGACAGCTGTTGAATTGACAGAAAAAATTGCTCAGCTTTTCAGCATTTCCCCTCGCCAGATCAGCCAGATTTACAAGCAGGGGCCAACAGGAATCCATGTACTCATCAGTGATGAGGTAGATTTTTCAGTACAGTTAAATTACCAGATGACAACTAATTTGTCAGAGCATGTAGCAGGAGCAGGAGCAGGTCTTCTGGGATAGAGGGCTCTTTTTGCTAGACCAGAGGTTTTCTAATTTGTTTGCTAGCTTATCTCCTAAAATAATTTTTAAAAACCACATATCCTCTTGCACATTTTTAGGTTGACTTAAAATTTTTTTGTTAGAAGTATAAATAATTGTAAAAGATGTCATTTCTGGGCATATAACAGGGTACTTCAAAAAGTTCACAGATAGATTTGTATTATCTTTAATTCTATTTTTCCACAAATTTTTTTTTTTTTTCCCTTTTTTGTCTTTTTTCGTGTCTGGCAACGGATCGCAACCCTCGGTGCTGCACCCGCACCTCACTCAGCCAGTGAGCGGGAACCGGTCTGTATGAGGGATCTGAACCCTCGGCGGGAGCGCCGCCACCGGGCCGGCCCCCCACAAATTTTTTGAAGTACACTCCTATATGACATTTAAAAATGAAATGGTTACATCACTATTTTAATTGCATTCCATGTAACCTAAATACAAGAGTGTTTTAATACCACCATCATCCATTTAAAAAAATATATATAGGGCCGGCCCGGTGGCGCACTGGAGAGTGCGCCGCTTGGGAAGCGCGGCGGCGCTCCCACCCGAGGGTTCGGATCCCACATACGGACCGGTTCCCGCTCGCTGGCTGAGCGGGGCGTGGGAAGCAACACCGAGGGTTGCGATCCCGTTGCCGGTCCCCGATCTGGTACGGGGGCAACACTGAGGGTTGCGATCCGTTGCCGGACACGGAAAAAGACAAAAGACAAAAAAAAAATAAATAAAAAAAATAAAAAAATATATATAACTATGCTTTTTTTAAGTTAGTATTTTTATATCATACTTCAGTTTCCTTGAACTCATATTTTCATTCACTTCTCCTATAGAATTTTATCTTATCGTAACATATTTTTACACTTGAACATCCTTTATTGATTATCCTATTATATTTACTTGAAACAAAAATGTGTTTCAACCAAAAAGTTTATTTCAATAAAAATTTAAAAACTATCTGAATAGAATTATCATCATAAGTACATAATTGATTAAAATAACATAAATGTTTATATGTTTAAATAAGTAATTGTTAAACATTAAGAAAAAAATTTATTAGAAGTGCATTTATTAATGAGGTGGATGGAGTTGTTCTGTTCCCTACCCCCACTGTTGTATACAATTAATTGATCTATAAATGAATACTGTTTATTGACTCCTAGAATGACATAGGGTTCTATTTTTTCCTCTAAATATGTGTTGTGAAACTTGATTCACATAAAAGATGGGAATGGATGGAGTTTTGTTATAGCAACATCACTGGATTTTTTTGAACTTCTGAGTTATATATCAAAAATTGCATAGTAATGCTATCAAAAATTATTTTAAGGGCTAGCCAGTTAGCTTGGTTAGAGAGTGGTACTGATAACACCAAGGTCCAGGGTTCAATTCCTGTACTGGCAAACCATCAGAAAAAAATTTTTTTAATAAATAAATAAATATTTTGAACCATCTATCATTTGACAATTTGTATTTAGGTTATTCTTCAATTCTGGTGAAAGGAAAAAATTAGAAACCATACAGGATTTTTCACCTAGTCATTAGAGTTCACCTTTTTTTTTTTTCTCTTTTGTCTTTTTTCCGCGTCCGGCAACGGATCGCAACCCTCAGTGTTGCCCCCGTACCGGACCGGGGACTGGCAACGGGATCGCAAGCCTCGGGGTTGCTCCCGCGCCTCACTCAGCCAGTGAGCGGGAGCCGGTCTGTATGTGGGATCCGAACCCTCGGGCGGGAGCGCCGCCACGCTTCCCAAGCGGCGCACTATCCAGTGCGCCACCGGGCCGGCCCCTAGAGTTCACCTTTGCAGTTCCACTTTGGCACTCCTAGGCATTTTTTTTTTCTTTTTTCTTTTTTTTAAAGATGATCAGTAAGGGGATCTTAACCCTTGACTTGGTGTTGTCAGGACCACGCTCTCCAAACCAGCCATCCCTATATAGGTATCTGAACCCATGGCCTTGGTGCCATCAGCACCACACTCTCCCAAGTGATCCACAGGTCAGCCCCAACACTCCTAAGCTTTTATTCCCCAGTGCAGGGCACCTTGGTAGGATTCGGGGAGAGTGAAACTCATGCGTTTATTTTGTAAAATGGGAAAAGGGGGTTTGAGAAGGGAAAGTAGGGAAGAAAACTAAAGAAGTTTTAGGAAGAAAAACATACGGAAATTAAAGATCTAGAACTCACTTCTCCCATATGGGCTTATCAGCGTCTGTATACCCCTTAGGAAGCCTCAGGGTTAACCCAGGGAATTATATATTCCACTTTTAAGACTGCTGTCCTAGACTGCTCAGTTTTGAAAATTTTAAAACCAGAGGAGAAAAATTTTAAAAATACAGGCTTGTGAAGTAGGCTTTTGAAAGTTGGGAGGAAAAGGGCTGGCCCTGTGGCGCACTTGGGAGAGTTCGGCGCTGGGAGCACAGCGACGCTCCCGCCGTGGGTTTGGATCCTATATAGGACTGGTTGTTGTGCTCACTGGCTGAGCCCGGTGCGGGCGACACCAAGCCAGGGGTTGCGATCCCCTTACCAGTCACGAAAAAGACAAAAAAAAAAAAAAGAAAGAAAGAAAGTTGGGAGGAAAAAATTCATATGATTCTATAGATATTCATGAAATACTCTGTTTGGAATTGTTAAGCTCCCATCTAAACCCCTTTGGACATGGGGTGGTCCTTAGGAACACAGAAATAGAGAGGGATTATTTTTCACTTAAATCTAATGTAATAAAAAGCCACATCATCAAAATAAATGGAACAAACCAAAATTTTTAATAATCAGCGAGTTTTCTTGTTTTTTTTTAGATGATACAGAACTTTCAGGAAGAAGCATGTTTTATTCTGGACACAATGAAAGGTAATAAAATAGTAGACAAATACCTTTCTCTAAGGAATTTAACAGCTTTTTCATACTTTACTTCTTTGAACAGAGATAGGAAAAGTATCAGCCACCATATTTGAGTTATAGATAGTGACATTATTAGAGATTATTCATTTGCGTGAGTTGGCTTCTTGCCATTATCAGAGTGCGCAAAGTGTACTGATGCCTCTCTAATATTCTCTTTTATCTTCCACTGACAAATGAGGAAATCGAGGCATGTTTTGTTTATAATGCATATATATCATATAAGTATTCTGTCCTGCTCTGGTTTTTTTTCCTTCTCACAAGAACCTCACCATATTTTTTTTCTTCTGCTGTGTTTTAGAGGTAACTAACAATTATTCTTTCTTTCTCTCTCTCTCTCTCTTTTTTTTTTTTTTAACAGCAGAAACCAGTGATAGCTATCATATCATACTGAAGTAGGAGTGGGGCATTCCATGCCCAGTGGCTGCTGCTTTCTTCACTTTTTGAAAACTTCCTCTTGAAGGGGGATGTGAATGGAGATTTGAAGGTCTGCAGGACCCTGACCCATCTGACTGTGGGGGGGAGTTCAGGCCATGGAAGCAGAATCCCAGCCCTCTGTGTTGGCCCAAACTCTTGCGGCACACATGGCTTACTGCCTAACATGCAGTTCTGCAGCTATTTCTTAGTTTAAATTTCTGGACCCTATTGTTGTTGAGTGTCAATAGAAACTCCACATTATTTAGGGTGTATGTAAGGCATAATGATGATGGGAACTGTGTGATATTTAATGGGAAGATGTTAAATTTTGTGATATGGAGCCATGTAATTTTTTTCTAATATAAAAATGAACATCTATATTCATAAGACTAGGTCCTCAATCTCTTTTGTATCAAACATACTAGCATTTCTGCTTTTTGCCACAATTGGTCCCTGAAAACTTCATCAATGAGGAGAAATAGAATTTTTCTTTTGGTTACCCTGCAATACTATAACTAATAGTAATTTTAGCTCAATGTTTATTGAGCCAGGTAGTGTGATAAATTCTTTAAATAGATTATCTTGTTTAATTCTCTTAATAACCGATATGAAGTAGGTCCTATAGTGATCCCTAACAGAAGATGAGGAAATGGAGACACATTGTGGCTAAATAGTTTTCTACCTAACAGGCAACTAGCAGGTAGAGATGCTGAAATCCAAACCCAGGTCATCTGGCTCTTACTATTCACCATCCAGTACACCAGTGCAACTGTTTATAACTTGTACTCACCATTGTTTCTTACTGTGGCTTTTCTGGTGAATAGAACATAGCACTGAGTGTGAACTGAGGAATTAATCACTGAAAGAGACAAACTACACCTAAATAATGAACAAATCAAGACCTACAAAAAATGAAAACATAATGAAACAAAATGAAACAGCTTTTTAAGTGTCATCAGTTATCGGAATCACAGAATTTGAGATGGCGAAAACTTAAGATTATCTATTACCCCCAAAATTCCCTGTTGTTGAATGACATTCCCAAACTATTTATTAATGAGTTAGGCCCGTCCCCACTTGCTGTTTCCCTTTCTCTTCATCTTCTCTTGGTATAGGAACTTCTTTTACTCATGTAATGCTCTTTTATATAAGCTTTATAGGAAATTTATTCTTGTCCCATTCACACTCATATGTTTTTGTTCTTCCTTAAGAATGATCGTGTGCGTGTGTGTAAGTGTGTAGCATCATGGGTCTTTTTCTCACATGAAAAGTTTTATCCAAAAATCCCTTTACAGGTTATGTTGAGGTGAACAAAGATAATGTTCCAAGATTCTGTATTGGGTGTGTGTGTGTGTGTGTGTGTGTGTGTGTGTACAGCATTTGATAAAGTTTAAAAGTTTTTTATACAGAGATTTTTGTTCATTAAAATTAACGTGCAACATGTTCTAATTTCTCTTGGTTTGAAACAAGTTGAAATCCTTGAAACTGGAAAATTAAGTCAATGACTTGTTTAAAACTGACCTGGGCAACTTGACATATTAGGCCAAAATGCTTTTTTTCATAAATGATTACCAGATGTCCTCATTTGAGGAGACATTTCTAATTGTATTATTTTCCTAGAACTGGTTCTCAACTTCAGTGAAGTCAGTTCTCTCCTCAGCAGACTGATTTTGGTTTTGATTTTTTTTTCCCCCTGTTCTGTCTGGATGTTAGGGCAGGAGGGCTGGACTAGGTGACTTTTAAGGTCCCTTCCAAATCTGTGAGTGTGTGACTCTTGCTTACTGCAAATGATGCATAAAATTCTATTAATACATACATTGACTATAAATTAGACTTACTAAATTTTACTTGCAGTCAGGGTTTTTATTTAGAGTAGTTTTGAAATTTATGGAAGTGAATTTATACAACTTTGTAATTATATATTTTTAAATTTACCAGAAAATGTCTTAGGCTTTCTTTAACTTCGAAAACAATTTGTTGTGTCAGTGCTATATAATTGGTAAGAATTGGTATGGTGTATTTATTCAATTGCTTTTAAAAATTGCATATGTTCACTATTGCATATGTTCACCTTTCAATTAAATGAAAATTTTAAACCAGCTTTTTCATTATGAAAGTAATACAAAAAATCATAAATTCAAACAATAAAGAAGGGTATAACTTTTTCTTCTTACCTCTTAGTCCCACTCTAGAGAGATAATCATTGCAAAAAATTCTCCCCCCGATCACATACATACCCCTATGTACCAAAACTCAGATAGTCTCATGTTATACATACTAATGATCTGCAATTTGATTTTTGTATTTAACATATCTTAAACATCTTTCTATATTAGAATTTATAGTTTTACATAATTCTTTTTAAAAAATGGCTATTCCCTGTGGATGCTCTTTAGGTTAAATACATTTGAACATGTGTCTTCATGAGTTTTTTGTAAATATCTTAGAGATATATTCCTAGAAGTAGAATTTGCTGGATTTTATTTTTTTAATAATGACAGTTGATATTTAAATTAGATGGTTTAATATTTCCACTAGGGTGAGTGTATATAAGAAGCAGAATGTTTAGGTTTTAGGCCATTCTGAGAAGTGGACTAGCATCCTATTTGATTTAACCATTGTCTGTACTATTCCCTTGAAGTATATAATAGGTTCCGGATTTCCTCTTCATTGTTCCTTATGAATATAGATAGGCCTAAGCTAAAATCTATAATGTTACCTTGGAAATTGCAAGTAAGTCTGGCATTTGCATTCTCAAATTCAGAAATTGAAAAATTGTATATGATTTAAAATTTTCAATTGGATTAATACCAATTATAAGAGAACTTGCTATTTAAAGTAATACTATCATATTATTTATTGTCTTATAGTACTATTTTGTACTATATGTAATCTTTTGGGATATGAGTTATATAACTGGTTTATCTATTATGTGAATCTATGTTTTCGTCATTAGATTTGCTTAAAATGAGGTACACATTCCTCATTTTAATCACTGCAGATTACTGTTTTCTTCCTGAGTTCTAATGTCTGATCTTTCATTTAAGGATTTGTTAATATCTTTCCCTAGACAGCTTTATAACCTTGCTTCAGACTTTCATTCACCTCCTTAAGCATAGTAAGCTTGCCCTCTCCAAATTCACCCCTGTGTTCTACCCCTCAAACCTTGGTATTTTGCTTTTGAAACAGGATGTGTGCTGGAACTCTGGATCTGTAGGCATGTGAGACACGTTTTTTAGCCTGCCCAACATGACCTTGAGGCTGGTTTTTTATTACTCAACCCACTGATTCTACAGAGTGGCTCAAAGCCTTCTCTTCCTTTTTATCTATTGTATGTCCAGGAAGAAAAGAATCATGACCAGAAGCTTCTAAACAACTGAATAGGAAACTTCTGACTAAAACTAGGTAACTGAGTTGGTTGGTTAGCTCAGCTGGTTAGTAGAGCATGGTGCTGACAACACCAAGTCAAGGGTTAAGATCCCCTTACCCGTCATCTTTAAAAAAAAAAAAAAAAAAGCCAGTAGATCTGGCCTCACAGTTTCTTGGTTGCGGTGAAAAAATGCACTAGGATTTGGAACCAGCCTAACCTGAATTTAAATCTTGCCATACATCCATCTATCTAAAAATATCTACTGTGCTCCTAAATGTCAAATACCAGGCTTTGTACTGGGTGCTAAGAATACAGTAAACAAAACAATTCCTTGCTCTTATGGAATTTAGTCAAGTGAGAAAAGACAATAAATATGTCAGATGGTGATGCTAAGAAGAAATGTAAGACAAAGGGATCTATCTACTTCAGAAATACAGTAGGGAAGCCCTCTGATATGGGGACGCCCGAGCAGGTTTTGAGTGAAGAAGTAAGTATGTGGCTAACTGGTGGAAGAGTTCTCCAGGCAAAAGGCCCTGAGCTAAGAGCATGATTGTGGGTTTTTTTTGGTGGCTACCCAGTTTCAGGATCCAAACCCATGACCTTAGTGTTAGAAGGCTGTGTTTTAACCAGCTGAGCTAACCGGCCAGCCCCTCATGATTGTTCTTTTGAAGGAACTGCAAGGAGGCTAGTTGGCTACTCTATTGAAGCACAGTATGAGAAGAAGAAAGTAGAAGGAAACGAGATGACAGAATGGGGGTAAGGTGGGTGGGACGAGAGAATGCACCTAGATCCTGTAGAGCCTTATAGGCTAAGGGAGAGGAACGATAAGAAACCAAGCAGTGTGTCCTTGGCAAATCACATATAACTTTTGACTTCTTAGTCTTCGTTTTCCCCATCTTAAAAACGGGTTGCAAAGTGATGAAAATTAAAGATCATGGTAGGCTGGCCGGCTCTCAGTTGGTTACAGCGTGGTGTTCTAACACCAAGGTGAAGGGTTCGAATCCCTGTACCAGCCCGCCGCCATTTTTCGTTTTTTTTTTTTTTTTGGTAAGAAAACAACCACATCAGTCCTCATATAAGTAGATAGCTCAAGATATTGCCTGTATTTTCTTCTTTATAACTTGGGCAGACTGCAGCAAGTCATCGCTGAAGACTAAGACCCCATGAGCAAGAAGGGGGATTATATTCTGTAGGCATGGGAGTGTGGTCCTGGCAAAAGGAAAAAGGATGCTTTAAAGGAAAATTCATTTAGTCATTGAATATCTGTCGCTGAGGGTTTCCTCTTCAAAAGGCTGCAGCGGTATCAAATTCGCTTTCCCAGGGTCCGCCGCAGCAGAGACGGTCTCCGGAGCCTGTTTGCCGGCCGGCTTCGGCTTTGCGGTAGTCACCGCCTCCAACTCCCGGCATGCCGCTGGGCGTGGAGCGGCACATAGACTCCATTTCCCAGCCTGCCCTGGGGTCGGTCAGAACGTGCCGGCGCCTATAAGAGCCGGAGCGCTGCGGCCGGAGCCTATTGTTAGCCGGAGCCGGGGCGGTTCTGGGTGTCTGCTACCTGGGGCGCCCGAGTTGCCGGAGCTGCCTGCCCCCCGCCGCCTGCCGGCCGGTCTGCTCACCCACCCTCCTTCCCCGCCCTGCCGCCCTGGGAGCTCCCCGACTGTCCCCGCGGGGCCCAGGATTCGCTCGCTCCTCCCTTCTTCCCACCCGGGCTAGGGCGGCGGCGGCAGCAGCGGCAGCGGGGGCGGCAGAGACCATCACGGGAGGAGGCAGCTGCGGCGGGGCCGGTAATGGGCCTGGGGGTGCGGGGCGGAGGGTGCCGCCTCGTCCTTTTTCGGGATCGGCCCTCAGGCGGCTATGAAGGAGTGGTCAAGCCCAGAGCCGTGCGGATGGAGGGGTCAGATATGAGGGAGGCTCGCACGGGAGCGGTCGGGGGGTGGGGAGCTAGGGCGCCGCTGGAAAGGAACCGAGTCTGGAAGAGGCGTGGGAGCGAGGGACACTGAGGACGCGGGCCCGGACTGCGGGGGCAGCTCTAGGGAGACCGATGAACGGCTGGGAAGCCGGCAGGATTGCGGATGAGGGTTGAGTTTGGAATGGAGTGGAGAATGATGTGGGACGGAGGGAAGTGAAGGAAGGGGAGGGAGAATAGAGGAAAATGTGGGAGGAGTGTTTGGGAATTTGTGAGTAGCAGGCAGGAAAGGATGAGGAAGGCTGGATAGGGGCTGCAGACGACTGGAATGAACGGGAAGGTCAGCAAGGTTCAGAAGGGGTGTTCATTAAAGGGAATCAGTGACTTGACATGTCCCTTCAGCTCCCGTTCCTGATGTCTCCCATTTTTCTGGCGTTGTGTGGGAAAATAAAAGCATCACTTGCCCTGGTTGCTAGCTTGGTCTTTTTTCACAGGCCCAAACACGCAGCCGACTGCCATCCATCCCGTTTAGTGCTATGATCTTGAATCAGTGCTATGATCTTGAATCATCCTTTTAAAGGGGTTTAGAGTGGCAGTGTGACACACAAACCGTTCTTCAACATGAAATGTTAGAAGTTATCCCCAAGAGACAACACTGTCCCTTGTCCTGCAGTTTTCAGTTAAAGGTAAATCCATACTTGATTCAGATTTTCCCTTTCTTTACTGGCTTTCCATCTTGCAAATCTCCAAAGCCAGGATGTTGGTGTGTGCGTTACAAATGACTTGATATCCTTGAGAGTTAATGCAGCATCATGTTCTAATTCTCTCACAAAGATCTTGTGTCCTCCATACGACTATAGTTTAGACATAGAAAGCCACATTCTAACCTTGTATTAGTGAATGGGTAAAAACTGGGGAGCAGTGATAGGAGAGGGGGTTTCTTTAAGTAGCTTAAACAGGCTTTCATTTGAGTGCTTTATAAATTCATGATCCTGATGATCACAAGGATGTATGAATCCATGAAATTCATAGTATTTAAGAGTCAACCACAGTCTTTTGTAAAAGGAGAAATAGGGCAGGTCATCATATTCAGATTTATCATAACACTTAGCAGCAAGGCTTCCTCTAACCCAGCTACAGATGGTAGCCCTGACAATTTAACTATAGATTTTGGTCCTTTGACCTTCAGCAGAAGGCTAGGTTCCAATTGAGTGGAGAGGCTTTCTCCTGTGAGATGTACTTTGTCTTATTATTTTGGACTCATTTAAGAAAGGGGCTTACGTTACCTAAACTTTGCAAATACATTCTGTTTCCACAGAATTTTTCCTGGCCAGTGCCACTTGCTAGTCTCACCTACACTGGGTTTTTTTTTTTACTTGTTTTGGTGGTTACAGGGATCCTTGTAGGCCTGAAAAAACTTAGATCTAGTACTAAAATACACATATGCTGGTAGATCTATTTTATTTGGTTCTAGCCTAATGTCTTCTATATATTGTGGATCTGAACTATTTCATATACCTTTGGGAAATGTTCAGCTAGAAACACTTGAGAAAAGAACATAAGGCATGTAGCCAAAAAGTGTCAGCTGACCTTTAATTTCACTGGCATTTAAAAGCTTTTATAGAGGGTTGCATTATTTTCTCCAAAAGCGTTTTTGTTTGAGTTGGTCATTTTGACAGTTAACTGTCAGTTATGACCTACATTTCCAGTCTCACCTTGATTATTTCTGTATGTATGGATTTAAGTGCTTGGAGTATAACTTACAAGTATCTCTTGAACACAGGCATTGCTCCTCTACCAGTGGATAGTTGAGGGAGATGAGAATGACTGATTTCTAATTGTGGTTTGAAAGGTGACTAATTTGATGAATTGGAAAGTATGGAAACTATTCTAGTTGTCACTATTTGTAAAGAAAGATTTCTTCAGGGTACTATGGAAGTGGATGGGAGGTTTGTTACTGGTGCCCAGTGAACATCTTTATTTAAGATGAACATTTTATGTGTCAAGTTCACACCAGAGTGGACAGGTAGAGCTGGGTTGAAATTTAAACTTATATTGGTTGTCAGGACATAATACAGTTTGAGTATCCCTTATCTGAACTTCTTGAGACCCAAAGTGTTTCAGATTTTTTTGGGTTTTGGCATATTTGCACTGTATTTATTGGTTCAGCATCTCTAATCCGAAAATCCAAAATCTGAAATACTCTGATGAACATTTCCTTTGAGCTTCACGTTGGTGCTTAAAAAGTTTCAGTTTGGAGCATTTCAGATTTTCGGATTAGCGATATTCAACCTGTAGATAGAATTTATTATTTTTATTTTTATTTTAAATAATGGAGTTAATGTCAGAGTGATGCTAACAGATACTGGGAATGGTGAAGAGAGCAAGAGCAGCAGACTCTCTTTGAGGATTTTCCTGAGTGCCAACCAAGATACTGGAATAGTTAGATCATAGGTCAGTATGCCCATTATTTACACATATAGCCATAAATTCCGTAGACTGCTTAAGGAAACTGTTTTTCTCCTAAGTTTCACATCTTTTTCCTTTTTTTCTTCTTCCCTACCTACCTCTTATCATTGCCCAGAAGCCACTATTCCAGAAGTAGAAGTGGGGAAGACATAGAAAAAAAAAGGAGGAGAGTGGAGTAAGCAGCCAGCAATCCTTGCTGCACCTTAGTGCACAAAAAGTAAACTAAAGAGAAATGATACATCTGAGGGCAACTGGGTTAAGATAATGGAGAATTTTAGTAATAAAGATGATTTTGGACCAGACCCAAGCTCATGTGGGGCTTACTAAGAAATATTCAAAGGAAACCCACACTACTGAGAGTAAGGGAAACCTGAGGAAGGAACAGGGGTGTACATTTGCTTCCAATCATGTTTCTTTTTTTTTCTTTTTTGTTTGATTTTATTTGCTTCCGATCATAAATCCCTGAGTGCTTCCAGGCCAAGGAAAAAGCCATTTTTCTAGTAGCAGCACTAACTGGAGCTCAGTTAAAACTGAATCGGGGGGGTGGGCCGGCCCGGTGGCGCACTGCTACAGTGTGCTGCTTGGGAGCGCGGCAGCGCTCGCGCAGAGGGTTCAGATCCCACATACAGACCGGCCGCTCACTGGCTGAGCGAGGTGTGGGCGCAACACCAAGGGTTGCGATCCCGTTGCCGGTCCTGGTCCGGTACGGGTGCGACACTGAGGGTTGCGATCCGTTGCCGGTCACGAAAAAAGACAAAAAAAGGGAAAAAAAAAAAAACTGAATCGGGGTTTGGCTGGTTAGCTCAGTTGGTTAGAGCACAGCCTTATAACACCAAGGTCAGATCTCTGTACCCGCCAGCTACCAAAAAAACCCCAAAAAAACAACTTGGGATTTAAGCCCTTTCTGAGAAAGCAGATTTTCAGCTCAGCCTTCTTTCTCATGTGGTTGATAAGGTATTTATTAAGTGGGGAGGAAAAATTAAATTCAGTGGTCAACATTATTTTTTTTTAATCCCACCCACATAAAGTTCTCAGTTACAAATGTTCCTCCCCCATCTCTCATAATAGAAAAGAATGAGAAATTTGTTGGATGATAGGTATCTTTTTTTTTTTTTTTCTTTTTGTCTTTTTCCGTGTCCGGCAACGGATCGCAACCCTCAGTGTCGCCCCCACACCGGACCGGGAACGGGATCGCAACCCTCGGCGCCGCTCCCGCGCCTTGCCCAACCAGCGAGCGGGAACCAGTCTGTATGTGGGATCCGAACCCTCGGCGTCCGAACCCTCGGCGGGAGCGCTGCCGCGCTTCCCAAGCGGCGCACTATAGCAGTGCACCACTGGGCCGGCCCCTGGATGATAGGTATCTTTAAACCCAGCTAATCTTGACCCATTAAAAAGTCCTTGGTTCTCTCCATTCTTACCATGTCCTAAGAATATGACCTCTGATGGTAAGATCAGTAACCTGAAGAACAGAACTGATACTCTGGCTCATTTTTAAATTTAATTACAATTTTATCAAGTACTTTATTTTTTTCCTCCCTGGCCAAATTTATTTCAGGAATGTGCTTGTCTGAGACCTGTGATGGCTGAGGTTTCTTAGGTATGTCGTGTGACCTGAATGCAGAATTTTGATGAGATCTGGATAGACAGATTAGGAAATATCTTTTCTAAAAAACTTATTAGGTCTGGTTGACTTTGTAGAGCTGATCCGAGGGCAGGCAGATTGCTTCCAAGAGACACAGTCTAGAAAAACAGCTCTTTAGCAGGCATCTCTTTACACCACGTATATTCTGGGTAGCTGCTCTGCAGTAATGGAGCCTTGTCATTCTGGGCAGTATTATTATTCCTGCTGCATAATTAGCAACTAGTGAGATCATAGTCTGGGGAGATTCTGGCATTACCAAGGCAAAGCAAGGGAGGCTTCGTCACGTGTGGCTCCAGTTCTGACAGCATTTCTCTGAGCAGATTCATGAACTTAAGTCCAAAGACAGAGAAGGAGAAAGATTTGTACCTGAGAAATGGACTATCTCAGATTCCTTGGTTGTGTGACAGCATGTTGAAAATACCGCCTGCTATATTGATGTAACCAGAGTAAATTGTCACTTCTTTTACTATTTGTTTTCCCCTTGCTGGTTTCTTTACAGAGGGTAGACCAAATGAGCCCTGTTTTATGGAGCAGAATGAGATTAGGAAAGATTCTGGGTTTTGAAGCCAATGCAGATTCTAATATTGGGCCATTTTTTTTAGTACTAAATTTGACCTTTTTAGGAGCCTGATGGGACACTTTAACACTCGTGAAGATCTGGGTAAAGGGTTTTCCTGACTGCTGATGTCCTTCAAAATTGACAGCCTGGAGCAGTATTTTCCAAAATGTGTTCCAAGGAGTATTTGCCCCATAAGATACAAACAGTGGGTTCCATAACACTGCATTCTGTTTTCTCCCAGCCTTCACCATGCTCATCAGTCTATTAAAAGCTTCTAACAGGTTCTGATGTAAACAGTTTTCTGAATAATTCTGACATAGTCCTATTTTTGTGTAAAAGCTATTAATATCCATGGAACCTGTATATTTAATATACACACTTGGGGAAATGCCAGGCTATATTATCACTAGGAAAAATAATTGGGTCTAGTCTCAGTTTAAGCAAAGCTTAGTTCTGCCTTTGATCCCCAGTCCCTCCCACTGGTCCCTTGGAGAGCTACTCTGTGTGATCAGAAGAGCAGCTACTCTTATCCCTGGGCTAATGAAGCCTAGAGCCTAGCTGGATTGGAACCAAAGGCCTTCCCTCCACTGGGAAAGGTGCTGCTGCTATTCCTCTGATTATTCTAAGAGTGATTGAGACTGGATGGGCTGAAGGGAAACAAAAGTAGGAGAATGTTGGCTGGAATCACTAGAGGAATGACCTAATCTTGAGAAACCAGACATCATTGCTAGGTTAGGTGCTTGCTTTCTTCAACTAGAGAGCTATGTGTAGACTTGGGAGGGGTCTGTCTTAGGACAGGAATGCTGATTCCTCTTTTCCCCTGGGCAGAATCCTAATGCACCTAGCTAGCTGGTGGTGAGCAGGGGCTTTGGGGCCAACGTGGTGGGCTCCCCAAGGAAACCCCTTTGAAACCAATGGATGCATTCACGGGCTCCGGTCTCAAGAGGAAGTTTGATGATGTGGATGTGGGCTCATCAGTTTCCAACTCAGATGATGAGATCTCCAGCAGTGACAGTGCTGACAGCTGTGACAGCCTCAATCCTCCTACAACTGCCAGCTTCACACGTGAGTGAGCTGCTCTCTCCCTGCCTACACCCACATTCCCCAAGCATCAGAGCCCATTTAGATAGAAGCTCTTGAGACAGCTTCTATCCAGCTTAGGGATTTGCCCTCAATCATAATCTTTCCTTGCTCTTTGGAGGGCCTCATTGCAAGTTTATAATATTATAAACTGAAGTCTGATTTATTCTCGCTGATTTTGCTTGTGTGTTGTGGTTTGTAGGTCCCCAGTATGGGCTGAATTAGATTGAAGAAGGAGGAGTCTAGGACTCTTCCCTTCCCCACCAAAGTCCCATAGTGTTCCAGGAAGCTATAACTGTAGCAGGACATAAATGCTTACTTCCTGGACAACTGGGGCAACTCCAGACTTCTTAATTCTTATGGCTCAATTACTTCTTGGAAAGAACATCTTATACTATAGATCAGGTGTTGTCCATGGGCCAAATCTGGTCTACTGCCTGTTTTTGTAAATAAAGTTTTATTGGAACATGGTCACACCCATTGTCTATGATTGTTTTCATGGCACAGTGGCAGAGTTGAGTAGTTACAACAGAGACCTCATGGCCTGTAGAGCCTAAAATATTTACTGTCTGGCCCTTTACAGAAAAAGTTTGCCATCCCCTGCTATAGGTCAAGGCTATCCAATAGAATTTTCTCTTATGATAGAAATGTTCTATATTTGCATTGTCCAATGGTAGTTATTAACCATATGTGTCTGTTAAACACTTGAAATATAGCTAGTTTAACTGAAGAGCTGAATTTTTAATTTATTTATAATTAACTTTAAATTGCCATGCATGGCTAATAGCTGCTGCATTGGACCATGAAGCTATAGATTGTTATATCCTGAAAAAATAGAAAGTTCTTTAGGTACAGGGAGCACATTTGGAGAAGAGTTGAAAGCCTAGATAGATGGAAAGAGTGAGGTTCCCAAAACAGACCATCTCTGGGTTAATAACATCTGTCTGTGCTCCCTTCCCAGCCACATCCATCCTGAAGCGGCAGAAGCAGCTGCGGAGGAAGAATGTACGTTTTGACCAGGTGACTGTATACTACTTTGCCCGGCGCCAGGGTTTCACGAGTGTGCCCAGCCAAGGTGGTAGCTCTCTGGGCATGGCCCAGCGCCATAACTCTGTACGCAGCTACACGCTCTGTGAGTTTGCTCAAGAGCAGGAGGTGAACCATCGAGAGATTCTTCGTGAGCACCTGAAGGAGGAGAAACTCCATGCCAAGAAAATGAAGGTGCCCAAGGGGTGTGGGGTCTGGTACTTCCCGTATGCTAAGATAAAGTGGGAAACCATCTAGGTCCTTTTTTTTTTTGGTTATTTTTTTTGCTGGCTTGCCAGTACGGGGATCTGAACCCTTGACCTTGGTGTTGCAACACTGAGCTCTGAGTGAGCTAACTGGCCAGCAAGGTCCATTGATTTTTTATTTAACTGTTGTCCTTGGCATGTAGAGATTCTAAATCTTTCTAATGAGAAGTCTCAGATTTGGAATCAAATATCAGTGTGAGACTCTTTTCTTTTCCTCTCTGGCAGGGGAGTCTACCAGAGATAGCAAAATGGCTTCCCTAGAATTCCCCTCATCACTCCCTACAACCCACCCTCACCCAAAAAAAATTTTTAAGTTTTTCTTTCCACTATCTTTTAAAAAATTTTTTATGTTTAAAATGTGAATACCTGACGGTATTAGGTCTGACACCCCTACAACCCACCCTCACCCAAAAAAAATTTTTAAGTTTTTCTTTCCACTATCTTTTAAAAATTTTTTTATGTTTAAAATGTGAATACCTGACGGTATTAGGTCTGACACCTCTGGAAACCCAAGGAAGCACAATTTTTAGTTTCTTGTCAAATGATTGTCCCTTGCCCTGATAGAACAGGTTTTGGATCTTTCACATTCTCTGAAAGGATCTTGCTGTTTCTACAACTCCTATCACTCCTAGGTGATAGTCTTCTGGGTGAAAACAACAGCATTATCAAATAGTTATTTATACTTGTATAATACTGTGCCTACCGTCTGATCTAGCACCAGCTCTTCAAGTTTAGGAGGAGGGAGGGACTGGAGGAAGACCTGTCTCAGATGGCTCTTTTTAGCTTTTGATATGCTAAATGAGCACCATTTGGCACTCCACAGTTTCCACCAGTCCTCAAAATTTACCCCAGAGTTTCTGGTTCCAAATTTGAAGAACACTGCTTTAAGCCTGGCCAGGTTTCTTTTGAGCCCAAAGCATGCTGACCCATATTAAAACAGGTGGCTGCATCATTTCCAAGGTTGTGGAAGACACACCAGAATGTGGTAGGGTTGGAGAACTGGTGGCAGATGTAGGCAGACCAGATTTCATTCCTTTCTCTCTTTAAGAGCTCTATGTCTACTTCCCTCAGCCTACTTCAAAGGCCTTACACCTGCTTTTCCAACCAGAATGACATTTAGGCTTCCCTTTCTTCTGAGGAATTCCATCACTGACCCTATCACCTTCCTGCTGCCATAGCAACAGCTGGGCAAATAAACACTGTTTTCATCAATTGCAATGAAGGCGTTCTTCCCTTTCTCCAGAAGAAAACTCCTCCCTCCTAAATCTGGTAGAGGAATGAACTGTCAAGACAGGATATCATTCTCTTCATGCCTGCCTCCTTGTAGGACTTCTAGGGACAAAGCCAGGTAATCCCAACACTTATAGCAGGATATTTAGTGAGCACTAGCAGTGGTGCTAACACATCTTTACATGTCAAGAGAAAGCCCTTGCTTTTCCTTCCCCAGGTCCAGTTTCCTCCTTTCTTACAAATTTTTCCTGTTGTTAGCACTCTGTAAGAGAGGCAGTCTCAAAAAAATATATTGTCTGCATCTTTCATAAACAGTCTGTTTGTTTTCCTTTTGGGCTGTTCTAATAACTGTTTGGTGCTCTGCGGCTTTAGTTGCCTATAATCTTTCTAATACTTTTATTATTTTATTTTTTGTATTTTGGACTTTATCCATATGGAATTCATTATAATGAATGGTATGAATTGGGAATCTAACTTTTCCCTGCAAAGAATATCCAGTTGTCCCAATACCAATTAAAAACTCTTTCCTCACTGATTTGAAATGCCACTTTTACCATGATATATTAAATTTCATATCTACATCGCTTTCTTTCTATTGCATCTCTAATCTCTTTGCTTTGAGAGACTAGCAGGAGGGAGAGTGCTTAGGAGGATGCCAACCCTGGTGATATAGACAGGAGCAATTTTGAGGTCTATAGAAAGGCCCCTTGTAGCTGGCCTGCCTGGTACAGAAATAGACTGAAAACCCCCAGAAGGGCCGAGCCCGTGGCGCACTCGGGAGAGTGCGGCGCTGGGTGCGCAGCAGCACTCCCGCCGCGGGTTCGGATCCTATATAGGGATGACTGGTGCGCTCATAGTGCTCACTGGCTGAGCGCGGTGCGGCCGGTCTCAAAAAGGACAAAAAAAACAACAAACCCAGAAGCCCCACTTCTCTCATTTCTCTACCACCCCCCCATCCTAAACTAACAAACAAAAAAGCCCGGTATATAGCTTATTAGCCAGGTCTGTTGCATCACATCTCTCCCAGGAGTTGTTCCTTTACCAGCACTACTCTGTGGTTGTCTGATGAAATAAACCAAAGGCTTTAGTCATGTGGCTTTCAAGCTGCTAGCAGCTTCCATAGCCCCAAGGATTATGAGGCCTCATTTTCTTTACTTGAATTCTCCAGCAAGTTTTGAGAACACATTCAGCCACAGATTGTCTTCAATCTGTCCTTCCACTAGAAAACCCAGATTTCTGTCTGTAGATAGTACACTCAGTATTATTTATACCACCTTACCTTACACATAGCAATTCTTTGAAGTCAAATTTAACAAAAGATTAGAAAGGAGAAAGAACACATTTCTTCTAGGCCCTGGGCTAAAGGGCTTTCTTTTTTTCTTTTTTATGAGGGTTTTCCTTTATAGCTGTTAATGTTCATTTTTTTTCTCCTTCCTATAAAATGAAGCTCTTCTGTGCATGCACAGATAATTGTTCACACTATGGGGTTCACATTCATTGACAAAGACCTGGTAGCCATGTACTACACTTTAATGTACTCTTTCCCAGAAGGTAGTTGGTAGTTTTGGATTCTACGGTGTACAAGTTGAAGGATGTTATACAAGGTTACCTATGTACCCAAGGAACATCCAACCATTGATATACTTTCTTCTTTCTGGTGTTAGAAGGCTGGTGAACCTAGGTTAAGGCACACATGTCTGGGAATGGAGGGTATATTCGTGGGAATAGATTATCTTCTAGGAGGGAAGATGAGACTGGGATTTTTTAGCAACTTGGACCCAGAAAGGTGATGTCTCCTGTGTTGAAAGTGTGATGTTAGAGCTGCTTAAGACTTCCTGCTCTGGATTTATTCTCCCGGTGTGCACCATCCAATATGGTAGCCACTAGTCACATGTGGCTATTTAAATTTAATTAAAATTGTAAATTCAGTTTCTCAGTAGCACTAGTGGCTGCTGTGTTGGACAGCACAGATATTCCCATCATTGCAGAAAGTGCAACAGACAGTGCTGCTATAGATGACCACTGTGAGGAAGCTTGTGTTGCTAATGCTCAAGAGGCTGACCTTTCCTATCTCTTGGCAGCTGACCAAGAATGGGACAGTGGAGTCGGTGGAGGCTGATGGACTGACACTGGATGACGTTTCAGATGAAGATATTGATGTGGAAAATGTGGAGGTGGATGATTACTTCTTCCTGCAGCCTCTGCCCACTAAACGGCGACGGGCCCTACTGAGGGCTTCTGGGGTCCACCGCATTGATGCTGAAGAGAAGCAAGAACTTCGAGCCATCCGCCTCTCACGGGAAGAGTGTGGTTGTGACTGTCGACTGTATTGTGACCCAGAAGCATGTGCCTGTAGCCAGGCTGGGATTAAATGCCAGGTCAGTCCAAGTTGGCCTGAGATGGTATATCTGCACCAGGGTCAGGGGGGTGTGGAGTAGGTGTCAATGAACATAGGAGGCTACCTATGTGGGGGTGGATTCTTCATGTCTGTGAACACTCCCTAGTTCCACAACCCTCCACCAATAAAGAAAACAAGCATGACAGGATTTAAGATATGGAGATACCTATTATCTTTTCTGAGTTTCACACCTCAGAGATGATAAGCAGCAGCTGTTAGCAAAGGGAAGAACAGCGGTTAGTATGTTTTAACATTTAGTAACTGTTCCTTAAATGCTGACTCCTTGAGATGAAAGGAAGCAGAGAAATGAGGTGGGCCTATACGTAGATTCTATCTGCTAACACTTATTCACAGTACCTCCACTCCAATTTTGTTAAAATCAAAATAGTTTTCAGATCCTGTAATTCATGACAGACCTGGCCTGGAAGAGTGTAAATCCAGTTTCCAGAAAGACAGAAGGTATCATCCCTTTGTTGGTTTTCTGACAAGGGACATTTTAGGAGATATATATCAATTGAAAACAGCAGTACCATGCCAAAGAATGAAATTTATCTGGAGCTTGTATGCTAAGGATATGGATGCTGAGTCCTTGTGGTTGAATTTTTCCTAACCAACCTTTTCTTTCTTATTTTTAGCTAGGTAACAAGTAGCTGTAGCAGATCTGGCCAAGTGTTACTTTTTAGAAAATACTGCTTTTCAGACTTAAGTCCCATAATGAATAAATCTGATATACACTGACCTGAGAACAGTCCTAAGAACTGGTGGAACTAGAGTAGAGATTTCTATAAGTTGATATCATAGGAAGATATTGTGTATTTGTATATGCTTATTTGCCTACTCACGTTTTTAATTTTATTTTTGGTACATGTGGATTTTTTTTTTTTTTCCTTTTTGGAATACGAAAAGTAGATAAAGAAATAGCATCTCCTTTCCCAACATCCTTGGTTTGTAGTAAATTATCTTGACTGCTTCAGAACTAAACCGGTCAACACTCAGGGAAAAATGAAGCAGGTAGTGCAAAGCTGCCATTATTTGTTTGAATCTTCATTCTAGTACCTTAGCAAACTGAGGTACCTTTGCTTAGTTTCCCCAGAATGTATTGCTTTGAACTAGCAAGATCCTCCATTCACTTTCCTATGCCTGTCATTGCAGAAGGCGTAGGCTTTGGCTCCAGCCTTTTGTTGTCTCAGTGAACCAGGTAAGTTCTGGAAAAGTCTGAGGCACATAAATTTCTTCACCAGAACTGTTAGCATTCAGAGAGGTATCTCTGGACTTTTTTTTTTTTTTTTTTTTTTTTTTAACTGGAAGGACCCTTTGATGTGATTTTTGTCTACATTCTATTTAGAAGAGGAAACAAAACTCTAGAGAGAAATGACTCTCTTGAGGCCACACCATTAATGAATGGCTGAGCTCGGACTGAAATGCAAGTGCTCTGTTAGCTCATGCTGCTGTTATGTTTTGAATTGGTTGCTTCTCTTTAAGACCTTAAATCCCAACTGCTTGTGTTTGCCAGCTAATGTCTCCTCTCTGTATTGTTAGATCACACCATTAATGAATGGCTGAGCTCGGACTGAAATGCAAGTGCTCTGTTAGCTCATGCTGCTATGTTTTGAATTGGTTGCTTCTCTTTAAGACCTTAAATCCCAACTGCTTGTGTTTGCCAGCTAATGTCTCCTCTCTGTATTGTTAGATCTGTTGGTCTCATCTTGCCTCAACCTTGTTGTCCCCCCTCCCCTCCCCTCAGGTGGATCGCATGTCCTTTCCGTGTGGCTGCTCCCGTGATGGCTGTGGGAACATGGCTGGGCGCATTGAATTTAATCCCATCCGGGTCCGGACTCATTACCTCCACACCATCATGAAGCTGGAGCTGGAGAGCAAGCGACAGGTGAGCCGCCCAGCAGCCCCAGACGAGGAGCCCTCATCTACTGGCAGTTGCAGCCTGACAGGGGCACAGGGTTCTGAGACGCAGGACTTCCAGGAGTTCATCGCTGAGAATGAGACGGCAGTGATGCACCTGCAGAGTGCAGAGGAACTGGAGCGGCTCAAGGCGGAGGAAGACTCCAGTGGCTCTAGTGCCAGCCTGGACTCCAGCATTGAGAGCCTGGGTGTGTGCATCCTGGAAGAGCCCCTGGCTGTTCCTGAAGATCTGTGCCCAGGCCTTACAGCCCCCATTCTCATCCAGGCTCAGCTGCCCCCAGGCTCCTCCGTCCTGTGTTTTGCTGAGAACTCAGACCACCCAACTGCCTCAACGGTGAACAACCCATCCTACTTGAACAGTGGGCCCCTGGTCTATTATCAGGTGGAGCAGAGGCCAGTCTTGGGAGTGAAAGGAGAGCCTGGTACAGAAGAAGGCCCAGCCTCTTTCTCTAAGGAGAAGGATCTGAGTGTCTTCTCTCTCCCTGTTACCTCACTGGTGGCTTGTAGTTCCACAGACCCAGCTGCCCTCTGTAAATCAGAGGTGGGGAAAACATCCACTCTAGAAGCACTATTGCCCGAAGATTGTAACCCAGAGGAGCCTGAGAATGAAGACTTCCGCCCTTCTTGGTCCCCCTCAAACCTCCCCTTCCGCTCGGACAATGAAGATGGCTGTGGGGTGGAGACAACCTCACAGCACAGTGAGGACCGGCCTTCGGAAGATTCTTCCCTAGAACTCCCTCTGGCAGTGTAGCATGGGGATGGAGATTCTGCCTCTTACCCATTCTCTATTTATTCCCTTATTTTATCTAATGCCATTTCAAAACAAAACTGTAGAAGCAGCTGCTGCTCCCATGTTATTTTATTGGGGTCTTTGGGGAATAGGTGGGAAAGGATTGTTTGTATTTTTTAAAAGGGAGACAGTACCAAGGAGACCTGCCCCACTGGGGGTTTTTTTATTTTGTTTTTTTCCTGTATCTACCCTCTTGGTCCTTCTTGGATATACAGGGTTAGACAGTTCTTACACTATTCCAGTTCAACCCAAAGAATTGCAAATGTTTATTGGAGCACCTCATCTTGATGGTATATAAAAATTGGAAGCCAAACCAATTCTTAAATGCCACATACAACTCCCAGGTTCCAAAGGATTCAAGTTCTGATAATAACCTTTTAAGTCTACAGAATGGGACTCAAATTCAGTTCTTACCTGTCAGGGGGATATAGTTCCTGCTCCTCTTATGTCCAGCTTATGTTCCAAGATCTGCTCCATTGGACACCACTGATCTCGTTTTATTAGCAAAGTTATCCTTGCCTGTTTTGAAATGGAGGCAGTAAAGAGCAAAACACTATTCTTCTCTAGCATCCTTGACACCATGCTTCACTTCTGGTATGGTTTATTAACCAGGAAAGAAAAAAGTGAAAAACTGTTTTTTGTTTATTTCTTTTGGTGGGGAAGATAACTATTCCTACTTATCTCATTCATAAAGCCTTTTCTTGGTGTCTTAAAGCAACCATCATCTATGTCATAGCATCATTTCACCCATAAAATCTCTGAACTCTGAGCCTGAAAAGCCTTGTACTTAATACAGATACATTTTTAAACCCATTCTGCCTTTCTTGTTCATTCCTGTTTTAGCTCGGTTTTATGTTTGGAGGGGAGTTCTTAATCAAGTACCTAAGCTCTTATCTCTCCCCATTCCCTGGCCTCACAAGAGAGTTGAGAGTCTTAAGTACCTGAGATCTAGATGCTAGATCTAACCTGAACTGAGCTATACTCCCCAACCTTAGACTGGTAACTTCAAATACAAACCTGAAGCTTAACTGGAAATCTGGCTCTCTAGAGAAATGGATCTTTTTGAAAGTTTGTGTTGGAAGGAGGGGAGGGTGAGCTCTACACATTCCCTCTTCATGAAGGCTCCAGCTTAATCTAGAAAGTGGATTCCAGCTGCTCAATAAGAGACACATTAGCTTTTGGAATCAAACCAGGAATTCAAATCTGTAATTAATAAACACATTGCCAACCCACAAGATATTTGATATTTCCGAAAAACTGTAGTTTCTTAATCTAAGTCCATCTCTTCATTAACTACAATTCTGACTCACGCTGTTCCCAATCTTTTGAATGCTAAATATTAACATTTAGCATTAACTGTCTTGTCAAGCAAAGGACCTTTTCTACAACCTAGTCTATCTCATTTCTGGTGCTACCTGAGTTGGACAGAATTATAGCTCACGGTTGCTAAGAAAGCCGGGCCTCTGATCATAGAAGCAGATAGCTTCAGTCCCCTTCAGTCTAGGCCTAGATAAAAGAAATGACTCATTACTACAACTCCTATTTTCCAATTTCCTTTTCACATACTCTATACAGGTAGTATTTTCAATGTGAATCCAAAGCTTGTCTGGTTCCTGAAAACAAATTTTTTTTTTTTTGCCCTTTAGGTTCTTTACATTGTGATAATGCTGTATTTAAAGAGAATATTTAAATGTAATATTAAAAGAATATTAAAAAAAAAATGGTGCGTTATTCCTTATCTTGGTAGATCAAAATTCAGTACAGAAAGGATGTTTCTATAAAACTAATTAGGTCAGTTAGGAATTAATATTGACAATAAGAACATCTTGTGATGGAGAAAATAGAATATTCTCTTCAGAGCACCAAGAGCTTGATTTGCTTCATATGCCCTTATATGCCTTTTTGGCTGAAGCAGGGCTTGCTCCTGCACTACTGAAACTCTGCCATGTCTGTAGTCCCTATTCTTTGGTCCCATTTTTTCATTCCATTAACTTCATATATATGAAATTCTCTCTTCCTAGTTACCACGTAAAATGTCCAGCAAGAAGATCAACTTCAAATGAGTTCCTTCAGAACTTCCATCCCATCAGAAGGTTCTACTCCAACCAATTAAATCCCCTTTAGTTAGGTTGTTAGTCTTTTAAAAGGAGCCTTAACAAAATGATTAGAATATGTATAAGTAATTTCCATCAACTGGTTTCAGGCAGTCTTTACTTGGGTTTAAAAACAGTGCTTCATGCATTTACAATAAGTTATTACAGAAGTACAGGTCACTGATGTACACATACAAAAGCTAAACCCAACTTACTATCTTGATACAGACCTCTCCTGGTCTCCCTGGGCTGGGCAATAATTAAGGATTTGATCCATGGCCCAGAGAAGGCAGCCATTGTCAGTTACAGTGGGATCACTGCAACCCAGTGGAGGTAGCAAAGAGTAGAAGACCCATAGGGGCTATACTACAGCCCAGAAATTAAGACAATGGGGGCTGAAGGCTATAAATACTGGGGAAGGGGTCAAGAAGCACTTGTACTTCCTTTTGTCTTATTCATTACAATGTTTCCATAATTTATTCATTAAAAAAAAAAAAAGGTGTTTAAAGGATTTGAAAAGGAAAGGGATTGATTGGTTAGCCCATGCCAGTAAGGGGAACTAAAGAATCCCTATTTTTGGTCATATTGGAAAGGACTGAGGGGAGCACTGAAGTGCATGCATGGGTGTAAGTGCTCCAGTTTAAGTACTGTTCTCATTGCCAGCCAGAAATTTTTAAAAAACAAAAAATAAACAAAAACCCTGCTATAAAGAATATAGCAGTGGATGAGTCCTAGACCAAATGAGGATTCCCATCTGGGGCAAAAGCTGACTTCCCAGAATCTGAACTTAACACGTCATAGTAAAAGCCCAGTACAGAGGCTCCTGCCAGCTAATTACAAGGGAGATGGGATGAGACTTCACATGGGCCACTCCTGGAAAGGGGGCTTGTTTTACTTCTAGCTGTGAGGGGAATGTCTGTAGTTCCCACATGGGCACCACGCTGTGAAGCCCATGGCACCTGCTCCTCTGCCACCCACACACCTAACAGTGCACACAGACTCTGCTGACAAGTACTGTTTGGTCCCACATTGCTATACTATGCGACCGCAGGACAATACCATCCATTCCATGGGTCACTCAGCGCCTTGTCCCAAGATAGTTGGTGGAAAGCAGGACCACGTTGTGCAGCAAGAGGGATAGCTCAGCTTCTGAAAACACCATCAATGTTAGTGGTTTGGCTAGGAAAAAATTTGCCTTCTAACCTCCTTAGTGTATAGGGCTTGAAACTGGAGGCACGAAGCCAAGTGCAGGGAGGTGTGGCATTAAGGGGTTATCATTTTCAAAGTTCCCCTGCTTCCTTCCAGCCCCTGCATGCATGTTTTCCTTTCCTTCCACTATATATTCGTATCAATTCATCTTCTATTTCTTGATTCTAATGTGACGGCAGTAGAAAATTCAGAGATGGTAATGGCACCATTGTCACCTTGGGATTCTTCTGGTAGAAACTGGTGCTCCAGGGACATTTCTCAGCTTCAAGATTAGTAGGCTTACCCTGATATATAAAAGCCGAGAAAATATCAAGACCTAACCAAAGGTTCCAAATAGGAAATTGACAGGCCTAATACCCACCCTCAGATACTTTTTGTTTAGCTAGTGGAGTGTTTTTGTCTTGAATCTGAATGCCTTTAGACCAGTGCATCTCAACTGGGACAGTTCTGCCTCTTTCCCCCTACCTCTCCTCCAACCCCAGGACATTTGGCAATGTCTGGAGATATTTTTGTTGTCACAACTAGGGACAAAGGGGTGCTATGGGCATCTAGTGGGCAGCAGCCAAAGATATTAACATACTATAATGCACAGGAAAGCTCCTCACACACACACAAAACGTCAATAATGCCAAGGTTGAGAAACTCTGCTTCAGACTAGCATGCACTCACTATTGTGTTCCCACAATCCCCACTACTCCCTCTTATCTTACACAGTTTACTTCATTACCTGCCTAAACTTGAGGTAGGCATGTGAGTAGGAATGTATTTGTGCCCTTTTAATTAGACATATATGTTAGATGAGGGTCTCATAGTACTCAACAGTCAATTTCCAAATAATCTCAGAATAAAATACAAAAGTAACTTGAATTTTAGTGGCATAACCATAGAAATTTGTCTTACCTTTCAGGCTGCAGGAAATCTGCAGCCATTCTCCCAGCCATGTTCGGCACCTGTCTTCGCCAATACCGGTAGAATTCAGGCCACGAAGATAACAAGCCTATATCACTCAGAACAGAAATAGTTCTTAATAATCATAAAGTGAGTATGCGAAGTAGAATCCACAAATAATCTTAAATCTCCTTTTTTTAAAAAAAAAATTTAAAATTCTTTTGGTGGCTGGCTGGTATAGAGATTGAACTCTGGACCTTGGTGTTATCAGCCCTAGCCCTAACCAACTGATCTAACTGGCCAGCCCCTAAATCTGCTTTAAATAAGTTACAACCTTATCCTGGTAAGAAACCTTTCACCATGGCAATCTAAACTAATGATGGGCAAGATGAAAACAGGCCTATATAATCTAAAACAGTAGGTCTAAAGTGTAGTGTCCTTGGTTATTGAATTACCAGAAGAAAAAACATATAAACCAAAATTACTGTGGGCAATTCCCTCCCACTAGTTACGTAGCAAAAAATAAATAAATAAATAAATAAAATAAAGACATAGAAATGAGGTGAGAAAATAGAGAGCTTCAGTTTTAATGTAACAAGCAAGAAAAGGAGACCCTGGTAAGCTTCCAGCCTGCTGTGAGCTCAAAACCCAACAAGGGTTGAGGGTTGATGATGCAATCAAGCCCTTACCGATTTCACTTCCTGAGCAGTCAGTTGGCCAATCCCCAGCTTTGCCAAAGCCCTGTCCAGGTGGTGAATCACAGTGGTATGAGTCTTCAAACGATGTCTCAACAAGGGAGGAGGCAGATAAGTTGTGAGAAGCATGGCCTGGCTCAAGGCTTTCTGTGATACGACAATAT